TATGCATGATATTATTATTTCAATAAAAGTATATTTCCCACGAACTCTTCTTGTTAAATGTAGAATTTCCCCAGTGATTTCCCCTAAGACTTTGAACTGCAATCAGTAACGATTAACTTACCGCCTGCATTTGAGTGTCTACTTTTGGAGCACCCTGTTTCCACGAGGGGCTTTTCCTCTTTAGCAAGTGTCGTCATCGCTGCGTGGTGGGTTAAAGGGCGGTTCTCGCTGGTTGGGGTTTCACGGGTTAAAGGGGGGTTGTGCGAGTGCGAGTGCGAGTGCGAGTGGCGACGTCAACAATTACAAATGTAGCCCAGGTCAGGAGCGCGGTGCAAAAGGTGCTGCTCTGCCCGTTGCATATTTTTGCTGTATTTTTTGTATTTCTTTTTGCTGGCAGCAATTAACCCAATTCCCGCGAGCAATGACTTAACCCAACACCACCCTATTTCCGCCCACAAAATCCCGAGAACCACGCGAGCTCACAATCACAACATTCAATTATGGTTATGGTCGAAACAACAAAAGGAAATCCACTCGCTCGATTGAGGAAAATGCATTTCCCACTGCTACCGCCTCCGCCTCTGCCGGCGTCGCTGTCGACGTCGACGCTTGTCTGACCCATTTCTGTGCGGGACACGCCCACCCAAGGAAAGTGGGGCGGTGGGCGGTGGGAGGTGAGCGGTGTCGGGTAGCCGAGCACACAAGCCACATCCTGCCATCAAAGTTGGCGATGACGACAGCGATATGGTTGTTGTTTGAGTTGTTACAGTGGTGTTTCGCATACATGAACTTATGGGCTGAAGTATACGTTTTTGTTTAACAAAGTGATCAAGTATTGTTAAAATAATATATTATATATAATATTTGTGGTTTTATGTGGTTTAAATACTAAAGAGTTGGGAGCGGTTCTTATAGCTCCTTTGTCACTAATTTATAGAGGCTCCACTGTAGTTGTCGGTCGTCGATGACTGAGAATCGCTTGAGATTGTCGGTGCTTTGGCCGCATTCATTTTCATTTTCAGTTGGTTTTGAAAGCTGGTGGCGAAAACTGTTGCATATTTTCGAGCACCGAGGATATCAAAAACTGTTGCATCTGTTTACAACTTATTTTCGTTCTTTCTCGCCAACCACAGCTCCATCACAATCCCAGCGGGATCGGCGACAACTGGAACGGGAGCCGGAGCAAGTGCAGCAGCGGATGCCCACAAGATGGTGCACCACAGCAACGAGGATGCCATGAACAAGATTCCCCTGAAGTCCGCCGGCGGATTGGACTCCGATGAGGAGAAGAATGGCGGCGAACTCATGCAGGACACTGCCGCCGCCGAGGAGGCGCGTCGCGAGCAGATGTGAGCATAAAAAGGAACATTAACAATAACAATAGCATTTAGTTTCCAAGTGTCCTTGGCGAGTTTTATGGTTGCGACGAGTAGCGTAAGCTGCTTACATAGAAATCGCATTTAATATGTTGAGGCAACTGCAATAGTACGCTATGTAAATTCTTTTTTGGCAATTTCAAAATTAAAATATACATTTCTGTTCCGTTCCACAAGTTGCAGCACAAGTTGCAACGTTTAAGGATGCTCACAAAGTTTTTAACTAATAATTATTAGTATTATTAAATTGTTGTTATTGTCAATTTCTGTAAATGTCAATAACTTTGAATTTGCTTTTCGCAGGCGCGTGAAAGTTTTGGCCTGGATGAAGACGCTAACTATCGTGCTGATCTGCTTTATCGGCATTGCCCTGATCAGCTACGTGATCATTAGCCTGTGTTTCAGTGGTGAGTATGGGAGATCGGGTAAAGGTATATTGCCAACCACATCCAGCTAACAATTCACTCACCCACTGCAAACTAATACCGAAACTCGATTCAGATAGATGTTGTATGTGTAGATGTACTGTATGCGAACAGACAGACTTTGGGACCCTTTTGAAGACCGAATTTAGTCACCATATGATAAAATAAAATATAGATTAAATAGAACGATATTCGCTTATTTACTGCATGCTTTCGATTCATCTTAACCAAGCACCTGGCATTTAATCTAGTTCAAAATAATTTCTTCTATTGTGGCACCAAAAAGTATTCACATGAACCAAACCCCAACCAAAAACTTTACACCCCAACTCACTAAACAACAACAACAACAACAACAACAACATCAACAACAACGAAGACTGGCCTAAATCGACGCCAAATAGAAACAACACAACAACCACAACAACAACAACGACAGCAACACCAACAACCAAAAGCACAGAGGCAACCATAACAACAATTGCACCACCAGGATTAGCAACAACAATAAGCACCAGCACAACAACAATAAGAACAACAACAGCAACAAGCGAAACAAAACAACCACCAACAGCAATAACAACAAGAACAACAAACACTAGCAGAACAGATAGCAATCCCAGCCCCACACCTAAAACATTTCATTCAACAGATGATGAGCAGCAACAGGAACCGGAAACGGAAACGACCAACATTGGCAACCTGAATCTGGCGACCAACCAACCGGTTGAAATCCTGCCCCATGTGACCGCCTTCACGGCGGCAACCACGGCGTCACCACCCGCCTGGCTAGCGGATCAGATCAGGATCGATACCAGCGAACAGTACAACTCGGTTCTGGGGGTCTACCAACATGGAGCCGTGAGTTCCGATAACCTCGAGTGCAGCAAGATCGGAAGGTAACTATAAATGAGGATTTTGAAGATCAAAATCGAGTTTAAAAAGTGATGGTAAGGGAACTTGGAACTGCGCAACCTTGTGCACAAACGATCGAGGCAATTTTTCAGCGCAATTCAGATTTGAAATATTTTGGCTAAGTTATGAACTGTAGAAGTGAAAATTAAAAAGCCCATTTCCTACCTTGACCCCATTCCTTGCAGCGGCATCCTGCAGAAGAATGGCAGCGCAGTGGACGCAGCGATCGCAGCCCTCCTGTGCAACGGACTGCTGACCCTGCAGAGCATGGGCATCGGTGGAGGCCACCTGATGAACATCTACAACCGGGAGCAGCGCCACGCCACCTCCATCGATGCACGCGAGGTGGCGCCCTACGAGGCCACCGAGGACTATTTCGCCCAGCAGCCGGAGAAGTCCTTAAAGGGACCGCTGAGCATCGCTGTGCCCGGCGAGGTGATGGGCTACCATGTGGCGCATCAGAAGTTTGGACGGCTGCCGTGGGCAGAACTGGTGGCTCCATCGCTGGAGCTCTGCGAGAAGGGATACCATGTGTCGCAGCACATGGAACGGGCCCTGAATCTCGCTTTGCCGAACATTAAGGAGCACGAGCAGTACCAGTAAATTCCCCAAATGCATGAAATTGCCTCAGAAGTGTCTTAAAGTATGCCCAACTATTTCTCTAAGCGTACTTTCAGCACCTTTTCGAGCGATTTCAAACTCCCACATTCTTTCTAAGTGTTTGTTTCCTTACAGAATCTATCTGAATGCGGAAACCGGCAAGCCCCATGCCGCTGGAACGGTTGTTAAGCCGCCCAAGAATCTCTGCAAGACCTACAAACTTCTGGCCGAGAATGGACCCATGGACATGTACAACGGAACGATAGCCAAGTTGCTAATGGAGGATCTGCAGGACATTGGCAGCATTATAGTGGCCGATGATCTGGAGTCATACGAGGCCGATGTGATGAGCTCCATCACCATGGACTTGGGCGACGACACCCTGTACGTGGTGCCTCCGGTTAGTTCCGGCTCAGTGGTGGCCCACATCCTGGCCATCCTGCAGGGTTATAACTTCACGGCACTGGACCTGTCCACGGAGGAGCTGAAGGCGCGTACCATCCATCGTTTTGCCGAGGCCATGAAGTTCGCCTTTGCCCAGCGTCCCGAATTGGGCGATATGCATTTCATCGATGCACGGGAGCTGGTTAGCCAGCTAAATAGTCTGGACTTTGGCGATCAGAAGCGGGCCATGATCAATGATTCGCACGTGCTGCCCGATGCCCAGGCGTATGGAGCCAACTTTGCTGCCATCGAGGATCTGGATGGCACTTCGAATCTGGTTGTCTTGGCGCCCAACGGAGATGCCGTCGCAGTGACCAGCTCCATCAATTTTTAGTGAGTACCCAAGGTTTCAAATGACCCAGAATAATCTAATTTAATATTTAATTTTTAGTTTTGGCTCCGGATTAATTGGACCGCGTACGGGTATTGTTCTGAACAACGGAATGAACGACTTTGCGGTGGAAAACAACGATTTCGAATTGCCCCAGTCGCCGGCTAATAAAATCGAGCCACACAAGCGCTCGATGTCCTCGCAATCACCGATCCTTCTGGGCGATAAGGAAGGCAACATGAAAATGGTCATTGGAGCAGCTGGAGGCAGCAAGATCATTCCGGCCGTGGTTGAGGTGCTCGCCAATGTGTTGTGGTTCGGCAAGGATCTGCGCCAGGCGGTCGATGAACCGCGCTTCTACCACCAACTGATGCCCGATGTACTGCAGTACGAGGAGGATGGCTTCCCGGAATCCCTGCTCCAATTGCTCACCAAACGGGGACACAAGTTGAAGGCCTGTCCCAGGAAAAGTTCATCTGTGGTCACGGCCATTTCGAGAAATGCCACAGCTATCTATGCGAATGCCGACTATCGCAAACGCGGCGGAGTTGCTGGTTTCTAGGGTGAAGAGTTAAAGAGTTCAAGAGGTCACCCAACCACCCAACCACCCATCCAGCCACTCATCCACCCACTCACTCACACACGCATACGTCACACACACACGCACGAAAACATTGCATTGAGATTAGAGTAGAACTGCCCGAAAAAGAGAGCAATTTCCATGGAACAAGAGAGTATAAATGGGCAGATCTGGTTTAGGGAGTGGTAAAACAGATCGATCGCATCAAGTGAAAGTATTTAAGCTAGCTATGTCTTTTTTACATACTATGTATATCGTACGTTATATAAATTTATATGCTACTACCTAACTACTACCTTATACAATAAAAATACAAGAAACACAAACTATTCGCTTGGTTTTCAATAAACTTAATAGGAATTCTTTATTTCTGGAAAGCAACACTGAACGTTTTCCGACATTTGTTGGCAATCGACATCGATGTCGATATGGCTATAAAAGTATTTGTAATCGAAATATACATAGTTATATACAGGCGTTACGCTAGACTAAGACTAATTGCTACCCTGTAGTTTTGTAATTTGATTCCCGCCCTACCCTGGCATTCAATATATGTGTTTAAAACTTATATGGGCGCATCATGTGTGGTTCAGTTATTTCTTTTGCTATATACAACTTTGGACTAGATGCTGTGTGTTTTACAGAACGCTATGTACAATGCGAGAGAATCGATATCGTTATTGATGGGCGCTACGAGTTAAAATACTAGCTGCTTAAAATCAAAGTAAATACAATGCCATAGTGCTTTGCCAAGCTACCAGTTAGCCAAACCTTATAATAGATATACGGATATATGGCGATATTCAGCTGAATGCTCTGGGAATTTTCGAAAGCACCAGAGTTTCCAGAATACCACTTATCGCAATCGTAGTTATTGATTTGTTTGCATGTGGTTTTTTAAGTGGGTCAAGTACAGAAATCCGTTGTGCTGCCAGTTGGGAAAAAATCTCTTAATTCTCTCTCCTCCTTCTACTGCTTCACCCATTGCTCCCCCTAGATGTGCAGGGTGGTTCCGGGTGGGGATGTGGCTCCTCCAGCTCCTGGCTTGGCAGAGGTCTGTGGCGGCTCCAGATCCTTCGACTGATCCATGTCGATAACCAGACAGTCGTAGGCCGGCGGCGGCAGTTCGAACTTGACCACACTATCGTAACTTGGCGGCAGTGAGTCCACAATGCGCAGCACATCGTTCTGGGAGTTGATCTGGAATATAGATCAGGTTTATTAAAAATATAATGGAAATAAATGAAATTCTACCCAGTACTCACATGTGGCATGGCTCCATTGGTGGACCGGTTTCCTGCCTCGTCGATGGGCCCCGCCCAAATGCAGACGCCCATGCGATGCGTAACATACCCGCAGATAATCACGCTAATCACCAGCATCCCGATGCCCAAGGCAAAGACGAGCCAGCGGGACTCCTCACTGGTGTCCCGCAGATTCTTCTCCAGCTGCAGGGCGCAGAGGATCAGCACCGGCACGGCCACCATGGCCACCAGGAGGTCCACAATGGGGCGCTGTCTGCTAGGTCCGGCGTTCAGAGGCCTACGTCCGGATCCGGATCCGTTGGCCGATCCACCGTGATGTCCCAGCGGATGGGAGCCAAAGTTCTGGCTGCTGCTGTTCGGCGTCAAGGTGGAACGGGCCACCACAGTGTTGTGGTTCTGGAGCACCATTCTGGAAAGTAAGACAAAAATACAGGATTACACGGGGAAAAAACATCAAATATATTTTAGTTTTTGCCAAAATCCGTTTTTTCGAATTTCGGTCATAAAATAATCAGTTTTTTGGCCACAACTTTAAAAATAATTGTCTGAATATGGAATGGCATACCTCGTTGCGTTCGTTATTAAATTTCTAATCGAACTGTGTTAAAAAATAGGATTGCTAATTTTTTGCCATTTTTTGCAAATTTTGATGATGTTACCCCTTACAAAAAATGCGAAAAATGAGCGAAAAATTAATTTTCCAAAATCCGTCAAAAAGTGATAGGGTTCGTTAGCATTGGTAATAAGCTGCTCAAAACTGTAATTCTTGCATCTTTATGATCATTTTTAGCCAAGTTATGATTAAAATGCCACCAAAAATATTTTAGTTTTTGCCAAAATCCGTTTTTTGGAATTTCGGTCATAAAATAATCAGATTTTTGGCCACAACTTTAAAAGTAATTGTCTGAATGTGGAATGGCATACCTCGTTGCGTTCGTTATTAAATTTCTAATCGAACTGTGTTAAAAAATAGGATTGCTAATTTTTTGCCATTTTTTGCAAATTTTGATGATGTTACCCCTTACAAAAAATGCGAAAAATGATCGAAAAATTAATTTTCACAAATCCGTCAAAAAGTGATAGGGTTCGTTAGCATTGGTAATAAGCTGCTCAAAACAGTAATTCTTGCAACTTTATGATCATTTTTAGCCAAGTTATGATTAAAATGCCACCACAAATATTTTAGTTTTTGCCAAAATCCGTTTTTTCGAATTTCGGTCATAAAATAATCAGTTTTTTGGCCACAACTTTAAAAGTAATTGTCTGAATGTGGAATGGCATACCTCGTTGCGTTCGTTATTAAATTTCTATTCGAACTGTGTTAAAAAATAGGATTGCTAATTTTTTGCCATTTTTTGCAAATTTTGATGATGTTACCCCTTACAAAAAATGCGAAAAATGATCGAAAAATTAATTTTCACAAATCCGTCAAAAAGTGATAGGGTTCGTTAGCATTGGTAATAAGCTGCTCAAAACAGTAATTCTTGCAACTTTATGATCATTTTTAGCCAAGTTATGATTAAAATGCCACCACAAATATTTTAGTTTTTGCCAAAATCCGTTTTTTTCGAATTTCGGTCATAAAATAATCCGTTTTTTGGCCACAACTTTAAAAGTAATTGTCTGAATGTGGAATGGCATACCTCGTTGCGTTCGTTATTAAATTTCTAATCGAACTGGCTTAAAAAATATAAATGCTAATTTTTTGCCATTTTTTGCAAATTTTGATGATGTTACCCCTTACAAAAAATGCGAAAAATGATCGAAAAATTAATTTTCACAAATCCGTCAAAAAGTGATAGGGTTCGTTAGCATTGGTAATAAGCTGCTCAAAACAGTAATTCTTGCATCTTTATGATCATTTTTAGCCAAGTTATGATTAAAATGCCACCAAAAATATTTTAGTTTTTGCCAAAATCCGTTTTTTGGAATTTCGGTCATAAAATAATCAGATTTTTGGCCACAACTTTAAAAGTAATTGTCTGAATGTGGAATGGCATACCTCGTTGCGTTCGTTATTAAATTTCTAATCGAACTGTGTTAAAAAATAGGATTGCTAATTTTTTGCCATTTTTTGCAAATTTTGATGATGTTACCCCTTACAAAAAATGCGAAAAATGATCGAAAAATTAATTTTCACAAATCCGTCAAAAAGTGATAGGGTTCGTTAGCATTGGTAATAAGCTGCTCAAAACAGTAATTCTTGCAACTTTATGATCATTTTTAGCCAAGTTATGATTAAAATGCCACCACAAATATTTTAGTTTTTGCCAAAATCCGTTTTTTTCGAATTTCGGTCATAAAATAATCAGTTTTTTGGCCACAACTTTAAAAGTAATTGTCTGAATGTGGAATGGCATACCTCGTTGCGTTCGTTATTAAATTTCTAATCGAACTGTGTTAAAAAATAGGATTGCTAATTTTTTGCCATTTTTTGCAAATTTTGATGATGTTACCCCTTACAAAAAATGCGAAAAATGATCGAAAAATTAATTTTCACAAATCCGTCAAAAAGTGATAGGGTTCGTTAGCATTGGTAATAAGCTGCTCAAAACAGTAATTCTTGCAACTTTATGATCATTTTTAGCCAAGTTATGATTAAAATGCCACCACAAATATTTTAGTTTTTGCCAAAATCCGTTTTTTTCGAATTTCGGTCATAAAATAATCCGTTTTTTGGCCACAACTTTAAAAGTAATTGTCTGAATGTGGAATGGCATACCTCGTTGCGTTCGTTATTAAATTTCTAATCGAACTGGCTTAAAAAATATAAATGCTAATTTTTTGCCATTTTTTGCAAATTTTGATGATGTTACCCCTTACAAAAAATGCGAAAAATGATCGAAAAATTAATTTTCACAAATCCGTCAAAAAGTGGTAGGGTTCGTTAGCATTGGTAATAAGCTGTTTAAAACAGTAATTCTTGCAACTTTATGATCATTTTTAGCCAAGTTATGATTAAAATGCCACCACAAATATTTTAGTTTTTGCCAAAATCCGTTTTTTCGAATTTCGGTCATAAAATAATCAGTTTTTTGGCCACAACTTTAAAAATAATAGTCTGAATGTGGAATGGCATACCTCGTTGCGTTCGTTATTAAATTTCTAATCGAACTGTGTTAAAAAATAGGATTGCTAATTTTTTGCCATTTTTTGCAAATTTTGATGATGTTACCCCTTACAAAAAATGCGAAAAATGATCGAAAAATTAATTTTCACAAATCCGTCAAAAAGTGATAGGGTTCGTTAGCATTGGTAATAAGCTGCTCAAAACAGTAATTCTTGCAACTTTATGATCATTTTTAGCCAAGTTATGATTAAAATGCCACCACAAATATTTTAGTTTTTGCCAAAATCCGTTTTTTCGAATTTCGGTCATAAAATAATCAGTTTTTTGGCCACAACTTTAAAAGTAATTGTCTGAATGTGGAATGGCATACCTCGTTGCGTTCGTTATTAAATTTCTAATCGAACTGTGTTAAAAAATAGGATTGCTAATTTTTTGCCATTTTTTGCAAATTTTGATGATGTTACCCCTTACAAAAAATGCGAAAAATGATCGAAAAATTAATTTTCACAAATCCGTCAAAAAGTGATAGGGTTCGTTAGCATTGGTAATAAGCTGCTCAAAACAGTAATTCTTGCAACTTTATGATCATTTTTAGCCAAGTTATGATTAAAATGCCACCACAAATATTTTAGTTTTTGCCAAAATCCGTTTTTTCGAATTTCGGTCATAAAATAATCCGTTTTTTGGCCACAACTTTAAAAGTAATTGTCTGAATGTGGAATGGCATACCTCGTTGCGTTCGTTATTAAATTTCTAATCGAACTGGCTTAAAAAATATAAATGCTAATTTTTTGCCATTTTTTGCAAATTTTGATGATGTTACCCCTTACAAAAAATGCGAAAAATGATCGAAAAATTAATTTTCACAAATCCGTCAAAAAGTGGTAGGGTTCGTTAGCATTGGTAATAAGCTGTTTAAAACAGTAATTCTTGCAACTTTATGATCATTTTTAGCCAAGTTATGATTAAAATGCCACCACAAATATTTTAGTTTTTGCCAAAATCCGTTTTTTCGAATTTCGGTCATAAAATAATCAGTTTTTTGGCCACAACTTTAAAAGTAATTGTCTGAATGTGGAATGGCATACCTCGTTGCGTTCGTTATTAAATTTCTAATCGAACTGTGCTAAAAAATGGAATTGCTATTTTTTTGCAGATTTCGGTGATGTGTATGATATTAATGTGTATTTTTTCCCAGTGTAGTCTAGACGCCTCATGTTTATTTGATGGGAACTTCGGTTAATTGGTAGCTCACAATTGCTAATCCCCAATGAATACCCATGAGATTTTTGCAGTGGAAGCGGTACCGATCACTAACTGTAATTGCTGTACTATCCAGACAATGGGCTATTATATGCAGCAAACTATTAGATGTGAGCTAATTTCATAATTTTATAAGAATTCTTACAATGGTTAAGGTACAAAAAGTTACAGGTACAAAATATGTAAAGTACATAATTAGTTTTGAATCGATTTGTAGCCAGTATGGGATAAATTAAGCCGAATAGCACTAGATAATTATTTATTCCGAAAAAACCGGGTCTTACTATAGTTCTATTGATAGACTGTAAAAAGGTTTTATTAATGTGTTAGTGGAGTATTTTTTTTAATTTATTTAGCCAAGAACACTTTTCAGCCTAATTGCTGTTTTCGATTTGCTTGGCAAATATTTAGCGTATATCGCATTGGGTTAATAATACAATAAACATTTGATAAACGCCCCATCTTTGTCAATAAAATCAACTGCGTCACTGAGAAGCAGACGGTGAAAATCATATGTTTGCTAAGCATTTCTCGTTTAGAGTCCAATTAACATTGGTTAGCATTCAATTACCGGCCAAGATGTATCATATTCCAAACCCACATACGTATGTCTGCGATTCTGATTGGGATTGTGGTCTATATAGCCATATGTATATTTGTTTTTATACACATATAGATATTGTGAATACTATTCGTACCTGGGATCAAAGGCGTTGCTCAGCAACAAGTCGTATACGGCGCGCATTTTGATATTCGTTCTATTCACTCCTCTCGATTTTGTTTTTTATTGATATCAATTGGTTAATTTACTACTGTCCCTATATTGTTGATGCAAGCATATTTATTCAATGATTTGAGTGCGACACATGAGTTGAATTGTTGGTGCAGTCTTTGATTTTCCAGCCTGCGAGGATCAAATATTTATTGTTTATTACTAGATCTAACAAAGTATTTAGTTTCATAGTTTAATATTGCCGGTTATTAAAACCCGAGCAATTAACATCTCGTTATCTGATTAGTTCTATTAATTTCATTTAACACATTGTTTGTATTGTTGACTTTAAAGATTCCACTTAATATACAAAATATTTCTCAATGAGAATCTACACTGAACATAAAATCGAGGAATATTTCATATATTTTCAAAAGTGGAAGTTGATACTATTTTATTCGTTTGCTGTTTGCTTGCATTAAAACATTAGGTAAACAAAAAGCGGCTGTTTACGTTTAAGTTATATCTATTATATATGCTTTGTTCTTCTTTTTAACGTTTATAATTTATGTGCATATTATTTATGGTGTTGTGAGAGAAGCGCTTTATGGCTGTGTTTTTTTTTACACCGCACAGAGATAAGGCCAAATATCAAGATGAAATGGAATTATCACCCCACCCGGCGTATACTTGATTTGTAAAACTATGGTGGATGATACTGCATCGAAGATCGGTCTTATCACGAGGGGATTTCCAGTTCACTTGAACGATAAGGGCTGCACGTGATTGTTTGTCGTCCTTACACACATATTTATTTGTCTCAATAATAAGATAGTATTTGCACCAAGGCGTTTGTCAATTACACTTCAGCATTGGACTTTTCTTCAATTTACACAAAATAAATAATAAACAAACAGAGTAGGAAACTAAAGCCAGCTTGGTCGGGCTGAAACCGATTCGTGGCGATCTGGGGCGGTCAAATGTTGAAATCGGACTGGAAAAGCGTCCAGCAAAAGTGGCCATATAGCATAATCGATGTGGATATGCTGTCATCTGAGAGCTTCAAACCTTTCATATCTGGACTTTGGACGTGCCCAAGTGGTAGAGAACTGAGGGAACTCAAGTCAACACAAATATTTCGGCTTAAAGTTGCAGTTTCTGGACTTTGGACATACCTTAGTGGTGGAGAACAATAAGGGAAACCACAGTAAACGGATTCAATGCCAATATTTAGCGAAATTTAGCAAAGTATCTACTTCTATACAGGAACAAAGAAAACTTAAATTCAAAGTAGTACTTTTTCCGTTGGAAAAGGGCCAACATACCTTGAGAACAGCAATGGGTAGCAGCACGCGATCCCAGAAATGCAATTTAAAAATAAAAAGCTAAGCAGAAAAAATCAGTTACTTTTTTGTCAATTGCAGTGAGTGGGGTGAATTGAAAATTGCAAAAGGGAGTGGAGAGGTGGTAATTGGCCAAGAAATTAATAATAGCAGGCAAGTTAATAAGGTTCTTGTCATCTGGTATTATCTAGAAACCGGTTGCAAAGAATTGCCATCGTTCTTTGATATTGTGAACTTTATCTGAAAGTGGTCTGTGCTCCAGTACAGACATATAGTACATATATACATATATTCAAGATACCAGATAGCGTGGCGACAAGTCTTGATTACCGATGAAATACTTAAGATCTCTGCAAATGAGAATGCGGCGAACTTCGAGATGTGAAAACCTCGAAGTCGATCAGACAATGGAAATTTGCAATTGTAATTCAAACTGCGTCTACTGAATGACACGCCCGAACCTCGTCGGCCACAATAGATACTCTTAATTGCAGTCCATGTAGACTCAGATACAGATGCATCATATGACAAGCGCAAATATGATATACACTTATGGTGCTCCATTATCAGTTCGCACTGATAAGACAGCGCAACGGCATAAATATACTAAAATATAAACCGGTTGGTTGCAAAGAGTTTGTCATTGATTGTCCTCGTTTTCATTCCCGTTTTCCGACTCGTTTGGCTCATTTGAATGATTTAATGCGCCTGTTAATATACTCGTATTAAGTTTGCTTTCTGGGTGAGGACCCAATTTGGGACGACTCCGACACCGATTTACGTAAGAATCGGGGTGCATTAACCTCTTTCCTTGTTTTTTCGATTTTATTTCTCTCGAGTTTCATCCTTATAATCATCCAGAGGCCCAACTCTTTGTATCTCCAATCAATTTTGCTCGCCATTAACATATTTGCAAAACTGCAAGACTAAAGATTAAAGTCAACCATTGCCTATGCATTTCCGTATCTTCCATATACTTCTATAACTATATACTATATACTAAATATAACTATATACAGTACTTCCGGTGCAGCGATGATATGCGTAGTACTACGTGACGAAATCCAAATTTTGAATACAATTCGCATGCTTCCATTCACAAATTGCACCAGCTTTGGGTCGAGGATCGGATCGAGTCATTGACCCGATGTTGAAGAGCAAATTATATTTCCAAACGTTAAGTATGTGTGGTATGATATATTATATCTTTACCGGTTGCATGTGCGCGATGTCAGCTGACTGGCAGTACAAAATGGAAATCCACAAATACTGGGAAAACCGAATGAAGGGAAAGGCCGAAAGAAAAGCTGGGGGAACGCTAAATCGCGGGGAGAACAGATACATATAGGTATGTACCATGTATCATATTGTTTAGGTAAAACACCCGGCAATTACAAATTACATTACCGGCTGAGCTTGACTTTGAAAATACCGATTCCGATCAGCGGTGGCCCAGAAACCCAATTGGAGTACAAATCAGCCAAGTGCAGAGATCACCAAAATATTTGTCAGTTCCATATGCCATATACATGTATGTATATATATATATATGTATATGTATAATATATATTACTGATGACTCGGCTTCGGTTATTTTCGTGGGATCTGCACTTTGGTTTCTCGCTTAATTCGCATTTAGAGTTATGCTCTTAAGACCTTCGGATAAATGTATTTATTTCGATACTTGGTTCCCCAGCTTGCCAGATTTACAAATAATTAGCCCAGACACAAAAACAATAACAAGGCCGTAAAAGTATACGATTCCTAGTAGATGGGTGAATTTCCCTATTTGTTTTCTGAAGCACATGCGTCATATATACCATATGATTCAGCCCAGCGAGATAGAATTAATGCATGTACATATACATATACAGATTTGGCGAATCTGCAGTTCACCTGGAATCATCTCTGGGGCTTATCAACACCCGATAAGAGGGATAATGCAGCTCCAGTGCCACAAAATATATAATAGATGTGGTAATAGTACTATGTACTCTGTGGCACCGCCCAGATTTCCCATTTGTTGCCAGGGGAAAATGATATACTGTTGTTTGTAAGCACAAATAATGCACTTAATTGGGGTAGATTTTCATCGGATTACATCGGATATCATGTTGATTGTGCATGGCACAGCCAGACACATATGTATGTACATTGGTACCATGTTTATATGGACTTTTTAGAATTTTCTAGCTTATATGTAATTTCACCAAAAGATACTTCTTGCCAATGTTCAGTCAATTTTTAGCAGCTTAAGTAATTGAAAAGATTCTAATCCTGAGAATGCCCGCCTTTTAATGTTATTTTTTAGACCCCAGCCATTTTGCCATTCTGTAAACACTTTGAAACGTTATGAAACCACCTAGAAAGACCGAAGTTGATAACTATAGTTGCGTTTGTGGCTCAGAACAATGCACAATTTAATTAAAATTCCTGGGGCGATATTCCCGACCTCCCTCACCATTATACGATGTGTGGCAATCTATATGGCACAAACAACTACAACATAGCATAGCACAACAATTTCCTTAATTGCCGCGACAAGAAAATCATAAAACTAAAGCAGAATAAGAAAAACTTGACGAAACTGACTCCCACAAAAAGCAAGGCAACCAATTCTTGGGAATTGTCTGGCCCACTTTGCAAGGGAGCCTAAATCGGATATGTCGGACGCAGCACAGCAGAGGGCAGTTAATTAGGAATCTATACTATAAAATACGACACAGTGATAACCCAGCTGTACATATATATAACAAAAATCCAACATATTTTCTTTCCTCTCCATTACTTAATTGATAAACCACTTTACCTATTAGCCTAACCTCTGCTGTGGTCATGTGCATCTGTATCTTTAAGTGCTTTACATGAAGCAAAACAAATGAATCGATGACGTTGCCATGGAGAGACATTAAATAATATATTAATTGATCAGATCGCCGAGTGTCGCTTAATTTTAAATGGGGGAGAATTTATTGCTCGATGCTTTTTGATTGACTAACTGTGGGATGGAAAGGCGGGAGGGGGGATCTACAGAGAGGAGCGAGGAAGGGGACTCGTGACCCCCTTGGAAGTGAAAGCTTCCCGAGAAAAACCGAAAAAGATTCCTCCACTTGTTCAGCTCGCTCTTTTCTTCTCTATTTCCTGTTTGGTCACGTAGTCAACTTTTTGACAATAATTGGTGGCCATCCTACATACATAAATATATAGGAATAAAAGTGCCTTGGCTCGTTCAGCAAGTTCTTCTTTTATTGTTCTCTGTTGTTGATGTTGTTTTTTCATATTTTTTCACATGCTGGACTGCGCAAGAAGTGGCTATATATGTGCACAACGATACTATATATAGAAACTAATGATGAAAACATTTAATTTTTTTTGCCCCCTATCAATAAATTTTATTTATCCGCTGTTGCTCTTGGCGATTCTTCTCGCTTTTTTCTGAAACAAAAACACTTCGAAGTGTGAAAACACATTGTTTACTTTTTTCTCGTGGGGATTTCAAAATAATTGGCTTTGTTCTAGCTGCTGATAAGCATTGAAAAGGAAAACACCTGTTTTCCAAGCGAAGCGATAGCCCAAATTATTTTGCCAATTGCATGGCCCACAAAGAGAAATAAAAGATGAGCCATACGAATATGCACACCAGCTGTCTGCCATCCTTTTCGCTCCTTTGCCCGCTCTTTCCCACTTTGTGCATTTTATTTATAGCCTTCGAAAAGGGGGGTTTTTGGGGGGTTACTTGGGCTAAACATGTTTGTCGGCATTTGGTACACTCGGAAAAGGCGACCCACATGAAAACACCTTCTTTGGAAAGTTAAAATTGAGTCTGTACCATTGTATATAGTTGTAGAATGCTTAATACTGATTGAAATTGCGATTTTCATGGAGATCATATTCTTTAACTACAAAGCCATTTACTGTGCATAACGCTTTGATATTATTAAGCTCGTATGCATGTGTATATAGGTATTTTTCTTAGTGTACTCACTTGAAAATGCTTTTTGGCCGCCGTGGATCTCCTTCTCTCTTTCTGCTCTCTATCTCACGCACTCTTTCCCTCGCTTCGTGTTTGCAATTCTTCGATTGAATTCTCTTCTCACATTTGCGGAGCACAAAAAGCCAAACAATAAAAAATACAAACAAAAAGCACTGAAATTCTGTTCTTTTTTCTTCTTTTGTTTTATATTAGCAATTATGCACGCATTTCAATTGTTTTTCGTGGGGGATTTTGGTTTTAAAATTTATTTTTGTTTTATTATGTCGTGATTATTTTGCGGTTCCAAATGAGATCGTTGGCACAAATAATTGCAGCAAGTTGAATGGACTTTTTTGGATTGGAATTATCGGTGCTGGCTTTGGGTGTACTCGTAGTGCTCCTTCCTGAAGTTTGGATCCTCGCCGCTCTCACAGAAAATCCAGCGCCTGTGCACCATTACAACAAATCTTGGATCGATTCTCTCTCCTCCGCGCAGGATTCGGATACACGATTTTGGGTTTCGGTTGGGTTTTGGTTTCGGATTCGGATTCTCCACCCTCGATTCTTCTTTTGCCCACTCACTGAACTTTGGAACTGTGGGAACACAACGATGCTACTACGGACGACCGGTCTACGAGGAGGAACTGCGTTCATATACACATATCGATCTCGATCTCGATCTCGGTGTGGATTCTCGATGTCGATGTTGGGTATATAGAAATGGATTTTTGTTATTTTCTGTTTTTCCGTCTTCTGTTCGCTGGCCACCGCTCCCCTGTCCCTCGGTCTTTATTCGGTAGGGTCTTTATGCTTTTCTTTTCTAATCGGCCTGAGAATTTCGAACCAGAGGCGAAGAATGCTGAGAAGCGACTGGCAAACGTCGCTGCCAGCGGCTCGCTTTTCGCTGCCGACGGCGACTGAGGCGGAGGTGTTTGTTGTTGCTCTTGTGGCGACTCGGGAAGATGCTCTCCACTCTCCGCTCTCCAATCTTCGCACCAGAGATGCTGCAACTGGTTGGGAAAAAATACTAGTTATATTATATTATATACTTTTAATACAATATTTAAACTTAAGCAAGAGTATATTTGTTTAAAATGACTAGATCTCATTTAAGCCTAGTATGCTTGAAAACTTTTTTTACAATACCAAAGATTGGATTATTTATAACTTAAAAATCAGTTTGCATGTTTTACTGAAGGTTGAGAAGCTTTATCGAGTTCTTGTCTCAAATGAAAACACTATCGCCAAAATGTATTATTTGTAACAGATTCATCGGTCAAAAGTGATGACTATTGTAGCCGAAACTTTGAAAATACTGTTTCAAATATGGAATAATATACCACTTTAAACTAGAATTTAAATAAAAAATACATTTTTTTATCGTGATCAAGAATGAAAAAATGGCCAAAAACATGACTATTCAAAAAAGGGAGGAAAGTGATAGGGGCTGTTAATACGAGTATACATTTTATTTGAAATATTTATAAAATCAACTATTAATGGATCATAAATCTGATAAAATCAACTGTGCTCGCGTCAGCATCTCTAGAAACATTCGTAGAACTAGTTGGGTTCTCTCCTCCTCTCGCAGCTACGACGTGTCAATCGTGACACGGTCCGAAGACAGTGTTCGCAAGACGACGCTCTCTCTGCTGCTGCTCATTCTGACATTCTCGGGAGCCTGGTGATAAGAGATGCCGTTATCTGATTGCCAATGTGACACATTGAGGCGGCGAATGGGCCAACGCTTGTTGTTGTTGTCACAGTTTAACGATCTGCACACGCACACACAAAAACAGTGATAAGAGAAGACACCTCTTCTGCCTCCTGTCATCCATCATCTATCTTGTGTCTGGATTCTTCTGCTTTTTCTCCGGTCTTGCGGCTTCTGCAGTCTTATCTTCCTGCTCCTTTATCTTAATTCGCACATTCGTGGCCTGGCAAGTGGTGAAATCTTCACTTACTGGTATTTATTTGTGTCTTTTTGGATAGTTGGCTCTCAGAAATGTTTATGGGGCTTACCTTAATCGTGAGCCTTGAATTTAGAATCTCAGCGGGGAGTTTCGGAAACTCACGAAAATCTGAGAAAAGAGTCTGTGAAGCTCAAAAAGGCACTGCATTGGAAGTTATAAAATGTAAAATGAAAATATTTCTTATACAGCAGATAACAAAGATTATGAAGACGCAAAAAAATGTCATAAAAACTATAAGATAAAGGAATCATTTGCGTATCATTCTGCGTTTTCTAGTGTGCGGTTAGCAGTAGTTTCATTTAAATATAGTTCGTTTATAAAAAATATCGAGCAGGAATTAAATCTTTGGGGTTTGATTTGCAAGAAGGTACATCCTGAACGAAGCTTGACTGTACATTACCTTTTGCCTTATCAGAATAATTTTTTGATCCGTCAAAATTGAACATTAAAACTCGATTGCGTCATTCAAATATTGTTTTGTTTTGTGTTGTATTTTATTGTACGAGTATTTAATTTAAAATAAATGTGGGTCAATGGATTATCAATGCCCCGAAAGAGGCGTCAAATAGGCACGATCAGCCTGGATACGAAGCACCGGGTACCGTTACCCCAACCAGATTATATCATATAAGCCCATAGGATAGTTCGATGAACACATGGCCAACGGTTCAATGACTCGAGATGATCACTCTTTTTCCAGGTACGCAGATATATGGATTTCCAGAGAGAACGGGGCTTAGAGAGGCTAAGTCCCATTTAAGGTTTTATAGCGAAAACGTGATCGGGCTGCTCTCTAAAAAATAACCCCCCCTTTCCCTGTAGCATCGTCTTTCGGAAAAACTTGTGCAAAATGCCGGTCACGTCGCATGTTGTTGTATCTGTATCTGAGCATCTTTTCCTGCATCTCAACTTCACTGCCATCCGCAAGTATCTGTATCTTGGCCAAAAGCCCTGCCAAAGCAAATTAGATAAGTTGCATCCCCCGGATAAAACTTGGCCACATTCGGTTCCAGATTGAGACTCATACTCATACTCGTATTCCGTGAGACAAGTTGATAACGGGGCAGCAAAGTTTTATTGCGGGACGGGAAGTCGTCGTTGCTTAGGCTTATCTCGAGACCTCGCGGGTAATAATAAAAAATATACAAGTATATACAAAATGAATAAACAAAGGTAAACATCTGACAGTCGGGGCAGGTTGTGGGTGGTGTCGCTATCGCCATTTGATTTGGGTTCGGCCTAGCCATAAGCCAACGGAAACTCTGTTTTTAATTTGGGGTTTTTCCCATTTTCCACAGAGCCATCTTCTTTATAACTAATTGTGTAGATTTCCTACGCGGGAATTAATTTATATCACATAATGAAATGGAGCTCTAGAATTGGAATGAATTTTCTATTGAGTTATTCGGATAAAATGCCTAATTTATAATAGTTTTAAATTAATGTAAGCTAAATATATAAATTTGATATTCATTAAAATGGGTTAACTCCCTAATTACAAATAAAACACACTTTTGTTTGCTTAAGTTTGTGTTGTAGTTAGTTTTGAGTCACAATGAAATTCATTTATTTCATACTTTTGTTTTTGTTGCTTAAATTGCGCTTTTATTTATTTACTTCAGTTTTTGTTTTTCTTGCTGAACAATTTACAATAAACGCGGCCATTTGTTGTGTTTTTCTTGTAGTTTTCCTTGGATCTTTGGATCTTTGGATTATTTAATACTTATTGATTTTCTTATGTTGTTTGTAGTGTTTTTGAATTTTTTCCTGCTGTCTAAACCTAAAAAGTTGTTTTGCTGTTGCTTGTTGTGTACACGTACATATATCGAATATTTTTGATTATTTAATTTAATTAATTTTCTCCGAGTTAAGTGACCGATTTTCCTTTCTAACCACTCAGTTTTTCATCGATTTTGTTTAGAGTTTTTATAGTTTCCGCTACATTTAATTGGTTATTTTCATTAGGTGGGGGCGTTGGAGTAAAAGGGGGAAAACAGTTGGCCAACAGTTCCTATATATATATTTATGTAATTATATATAAACTGGCAAACGATAACAGTGGAAAGCCAAAGGAAAATTTGTCTGTGAGTCGGGGGGGTTTCCCAGTTTTTTCTTGTCTTAGCTTTGGCTATTTTGAAATCGATTTAAATTTGTCACTACCAACACACAGACGCACATCGAGATATATGGTATATATCGTAGTTTATAGTTATTCCGTTTTCTTTTTTCGTTTATCTTTAATTTTACTGAATTCTGTATTCTTTATATTGTATAGTTATAGTTATTATTTGCTTGTTAAGTTGTAGACACCATTTACAATTACAATTACAGTTACAATTAGATAGACATACACAATGCGATCCTAATTAAATACATATAATACGCCTCAGATTTTTGTATCCTTTGCTATTCCTTTTTTTCCCCAAAAGTAGGCAGCATTAGTGTGCATGAGTGTATGTGCAAATTACATGTGTATATATATAGTTCCAAGTTTCAAGTTTCCTTAGTGTACCTAAGTCTAATTGCTATTCCGAAAGATCCGAGGATCAGTTTGATGTTTCACATTAATATATAGCTGCGCCCACTTTTATACAGTTGCGGTCAAAATAATAGCAGTATAATATAATGTAAATAAGGTCAATATATAAATTTCTTCTTAAAAAAAATACGAAAACGCTTTTTACGTGAACCTATTTTGGTTTTATCCATCAAAACCTATTTTAAGCTTGTTTTTTTTTTACTTATAACACAAAAACTTCAGCTTATTGCTTGAGAGTCGGTATTCGGTAAAGATTTAAACTTTTAAAGATTTTAAAATATTTAAAGTCCATGCTGCTTTCTTTTAGCCGCATCTGAATGAGTATTATTTTCGAGTCTTACCCCGTTTGTCCAATCCAAATTATATTTTGGGAGAGATTCTACCGAGAGAACCAAGTTCGTTGGGGCTATCAAGTCTCCCTAGTTGTTTAGCCCCTTTATTTGTTTGTAAAGCTCACTTGTTTTTTTTTGATCTAACTTCCTATAAGCTATCACACCTTTGACCCTATCTATCCTACTTCACTGCCCACTCGCCCAACCGAACTTGGCTCTCGCACTCTCGTTTTCAATCTTCCACTTGCTGCCACTACTTTAATAATTATTAACATAATTTATTCTAAACATTCACTAAAAACAAAATACCATCTCTCTCTCCGTCATACACACAAACGCGCACAGTGAGCGGCAAAAAATATTATGATTAAAATCTTAGCTATTACTTTTCATATTTTTTTGGCGCGCCTTAACGATATGTGAGTGGGTGTGTATGGGTATGCAGGTAACTGGGCGGGTGTGTGGGAGAGAGAGAGAGAGAGAGGGAGTGATGAAAAGAGACACCTAATCAAGGTAATAAAGGAACTTAAGTCAACGCTTTCATTTTTCTTACATTTCTCTGATGGATGGGGGATCGTGTCAAAAGCTATTTAAAATTTTACCGGCAGAAAAGCTGAAAGCTATGGCATCGCACGCTGACAAAAGCTGTCTAGCATGAGTGGGTTTTCAATTTTCAATTTACGTAATATTTCCGCTTTGTTTGCCTATTAATTAAGCTAATTCTCTTAGTTCGAATATAAATACCTCTTAGAATCGGTTTCTTTTTGCATTTTCGTATCTTTGGTGTTTTTTTGGTTACAGTTTGACATTTACTAGTGGTTTCTCTATAGTTTTTCATCATATTTTCTTGGTGTCTTCGATTACGATCGTTTTGCATTTCGGTTAATAATTAATAATTCGTATTTGCTTGTATATTACGAGTATGAGAATAAGGTCTCGGCGGTTGTTGGTGTTGTCTTTCGTCTTCAACTTTCCGTATTCGGTTATTAAAATAAGTACATTCCGGATGGTTCAACTGAGAATCGCTAGAGATTTGAAAACAACTATTGAGTGGCTTCAAAAAGTAGGGTAT